ACGCCAACGCCTCGACGGATCCTGTGCTGGCGGCGAGCATCCCGCCGCGGCGCACGATGCGGCTGCCTCGGTCAGCCGAGTATCCCGATGCCGTGACGCGGCGCGCCGTGATGGACGGCGGGCTGGCGAGCCTGCGGCGCCGGCTGTTTGCGACGCGCGAGACGCAGTCGGCGCTGTTCGACACGCGCCAGTGGACGCGCGATCTGGAAAAGGGGTACGAGGAGGCGTGGATGCGCTGGGTGCTCGGCGTGGATGCCGAGGACACGCCCGAGGCCGCCGCGCTCGATCCGGGGTCGCCGCTCGGCCAGCGCCTGGGCCGCAGCGGCCACATCTGGGTGCGCGATCTGTAGCTCCGTGCCAAGGCGATTTTCTCCATGATGAGCTGCGTGCGCCATGTGTAGCTGCGTGCCAATCCTGAATGGGACTTTGGCTTGTCAAAGGCGCGTTGGGAAAGCATGGGTGTGTTGGCGCCAGGCAATCTGGAGCCTCACGTCGAAGCGACGCTTTCAATCGCACCTTGAGAAAGATGATGTCTCTGCGATGCAGACAGGCCGAACGAGGCGCAGGCATGATGCGGAATCTGAAGCATCGTCGCGCCGGGGGGGGATCTTACTTGACCTCTTGTGTCGAAAGTGGAGCTGGGAGCTGGGTTGTGAGTGTGTGCGGGTAGATGCGATCTGGGGCTGGTTGCGGTGGGAGGGAATGGGGCGTTGGGAAAGAGGGGTGGAGCTGGGTGAGTGTCACACGAGGGTGTGCATACGAGCTGCGTCTAGAGACGGTGGAGTGAGCGTGGGCGTTGAGTGTGATCAGAGCGTTTCGGAGCAAGCTAGCCTCTGCCAGACTGGATGGATGGGGCTGTGGTCAATCCGTTCTCGCGGCGGGCGGGGGTATTGGTGTGCCGACGAGAGCGTGCTCAATTGCGGTCTGCATCTTGTCGGTGCGGGCAAGAGAGGGGGATCATTCCGCGCGTCCGCGCCTCCGTAACGCCACCCTTGCTCCATGCTCGCATCACTAGTGTGGGCGACTACAACACAGAGGGCCAGCAAAGTACGAGCGGACCAACGCTCACAACATTCCAGCCGTCGCGGGCGTTGTTCCTCAGAGGACCTTGTCAGATGCACGGGTTTGTACGCATTCGCGCGACGCCAGCACACGCTATTCGCGATTGGCTCCGATTGCAGATGGAAAGATCATTACTCGTCATCGCTGATAAGCTCGGCAAGTTCAGCTTCCTCCTCTGCAGTCATCTGACTATCGTTCTTCAACGTCTTGGTCGGGGGCGGTGGGAGCGAATTCTGGTCCCACTGCCCTGCCTCGCTCGAATCCGGTTTGGGCGCGGTCAATTCCGGATTCCCCACCTTGACCAACGCTGCCAAATTCCACCTTCGTACGGAGCCGTCGAGGCCCGCCGATACGATCCATACCTCTGTCTCCTTGGCCTGCGGAAGGCTTTGTGCGCGCTGGATTGAGGATGGATGGCGGATCCATGCGGCTAGTGCGGTGACTTCGTGCCAGTGGCCTTCTGCGCTGGTGGAGGAGGTGGGGGTGTGCAGGTGGATGTGTTCGTCTGCACCGGCAGTGACCACGGCGTTTGACAGGTCGTCTGCCAGCGGATAAGAGGCGGGGATGAGGGGGCCGATGGGCAGGACGGTCTTGACGAAATCCGCGTGCTCGAGTCTGGATGCCTGGTGGAGTGGCGGTTGTGTGCCCACGGGTGGCATGGTGCGAGTGCTTTTCGGCGCTGGACGTTGCAGCGAAGGGGAAAGCATGTAGGAAGCAGCTGATTTGTCGCCCGATGCAGCCCAGACTTGCGCAGCCAGACGGTACCGCTCACCGTCGTCATCCTCGCGCACCTCGCTAAACCACACATCCGCGCTGCCGGTGGTGTCTTCCGATACACGTGTCCAGTTGGCGTGGATCGAGTAGACGGCGGTGCTGAATCCGACCATCTCGCGCACGGGCTCAAGACGCAACGACGACGATACGATCGACTCGATGATCCTCCCCATCGAATCGGCCGAGTACAAATGCGTCGTACCATCCAGCGCCGTGAGGGATGCAAGCGCATTGATCGGTCGAGTGTGTACGGCGTACTTGTGCACGCACTTTAGCTCCGCCTGCCCCGAGGTGGATGTGGTGAGTGGGGTGGCATCGTACAGCATGATGCTCTTATCGCTCCCCGCTGCTGCGATCCAGGTGCGACCGGCTGAGCAAAATACATGGATCGCCTTGACAAAGTCGGCACTTGCATCCTTGACCTCGGCGACAAGCTGCGCATCTTTGATCCTGTACACGCGAATCGCTCGATCCCACGATCCCGTCACGAGCAGCTTCTCTCCCTTCGCAGTGTCGATAAAGTCGATTGCGGGGATGGGAGCTTTGGCGCCGCGGAACACCTGCACCTGCTGCGCGGATTCTGCATCCAGCTGTCGAACAACCCCACCCGCTTCCGCCGTCCATATGAATGCTCCTTCAGCATGCTTCGTTACGCGCAGAGAGAGGACGCGGTACGGCCCACCGTCTGCACCCGCGCCTTCTTCAGCCAGCTGCGCGGCATCCCGCACTACCGCCGACTCGAACCGGGGATTCAGCTGGATCGCGTGGCCGTATCGCTCCCATGCCGAGCGGTCGGAGATTCCAGAGGTGAGAACGGCTTTGCGAGAGCGGTAGACGCCCAACGCCTCCGAGTACGAGGTCTGGAACAAAGATGCGTTCGTCGTCGCCTGCATGATCAAGGAATGGTGGGTGGGAGAGAGTGTGTGTGTGTCTAATGCGCCCCGAGCGAATTAGTGTTGGTCTCTCCACGCCCTGCATCCTTCTTACCGCGCGAAAAGAAAAACCCGCCCCCACGCGTCACACCCGCCTTCACGACGCTCCTCTCCGACGAACCCCCTTCGCACACGTCGAGAGATATAAGCTGAGCCTGCGTCGCATCGCACACGTCCGAGATTCGCAATTGAAGAGGGTGGATCTTTTGGTTTCAAAGCTGACTACAACAAGCCTCCCGAGTGTTTGGGGGCAGGCATGAATCCTCTACGAGAGATGGCAAGTATGCACTTACTTCTTGAGGAAAGCCTCGAGCGAGTCCATCGACATGGACTTGGGGCGCTCGATGGGCATGCCGAGGTATCGGTCGGCGACGAGCTGGGGCAGCGCACCGATGGCACGCGAGATACCGAAGATGACCGTGTAGTAGGTGAACTCGGTGAGGCCGTACTGGTACAGCACGCAGCCCGAGGCGGCGTCGACGTTCGGGAAGGGGTTCTTGGTCTTGCCGTGCTCCTTGAGCACGCCGGGCGCCACCTGCGACACCTTCTGCACCAGCTGCACGATCGGCGAGTCGCGCAGCTCGGGGCGCGTGTCGCAGAACTTGCTCAGCGCGGTGAAGCGCGGGTCGGGCTGGCGCAGCACGGCGTGGCCGTAACCGGGCACGACACGGCCAGACTTGAGCGTCGACCAGAGGTACTCCTTGATCTGCTCGTCCGAGGCGTTCTCGCCGACGGCCTCCTGCATGGCAAGCGCCCAGCCGAGCACCTCCTGGTTGGCAAGGCCGTGGAGCGGGCCAGCGAGACCGAGCAGGGCGGCCGAGTAGGAGAGGTAGGGGTCCGAGAGCGCCGAGCCGACCAGGNCCTCCTGGTTGGCAAGGCCGTGGAGCGGGCCAGCGAGACCGAGCAGGGCGGCCGAGTAGGAGAGGTAGGGGTCCGAGAGCGCCGAGCCGACCAGGTGGGCGGTGTGCGCCGAGACGTTGCCGCCCTCGTGGTCGCCGTGGATGGCAATGTAGAGACGCAGGTAGTCGGTCATGCCCTGGTTGTCGCCGTAGCCGATCATCTTGGAGTAGTTGCCGATGAGGTCGAGGCCCGAGTCGATGGCCTGCTTGCCGTCACCGCGGCCAAAGACGTTGTAGTAGATGCGCGCGGCCACGGCGGGGAGCTTGGCGATGAGGTCGATCGAGTCCTCGAGCACGGGAGCCCAGTACTCGGTCTTCTTGATGCCCTTGGCGTACGCGGCGGCGAACTTGCTGTCGTGGTTGAGCGCAGCGACGGCGGCGGCGAACTGGGTCATGGGGTGGAGCGTCTTGGGGAACGAGTCGATGATCTTCTCCACGTGGGCGGGCAGAGCACCCTTGGCGGCGAGCTCAGCCGAGAGGCCCTTGACCTCCTCCTTGGAGGGGACGTTGCCGGTGAGCAGGAGCCAGAGCATGGACTCGGGGACTGTGCGCGTGCGAGAAAGCAGACTTGTCAGTTTGTGCCGTCACGAATGTCACTTTAGCGTCTAAGCAAGGGGAAAAAAAGACTACTCACGGATCTCGTTGCCGTTCAGGCCGAGGTCGGCGGCGGTGGGGAGGACCTTCTGGGAGTCGGGGATGGACTTTCCGTGGAAGGTGATGCCGGTCTCGGAGTCGAGGACGGAGCCCTCCCAGAGCATGACCTTGAGGCCGCGCATGCCGCCGAGGAGGTGCTGGAGCTGGATTTCGCCGAGCTTCGACTCGCCGTGCTCGGCCTTGAGCTTCTTGAGCTGCTCCTGCTTGGCAGGGATGATCTCTGCGACGGCGTCCTTGAGCGTCTTGGTGGAGGCGTAGCGGACGGCGCCGACGCCAGCCGCGGCGGCGAACTGGCGCGAGGGGGCGGCTGCGCGGAGGGCGAGGCGGGGAACGGTGAGGGACAGCATCTTTGCGGGAGAGGGACAAGGATGGAGAGAGATGGTGGTGGAGGAGGAGGAGGAAAGAGCGGAAGAGCCGACGACGATTGGAGGGAGACTCTGGGCGCGCGTGCGCGGGCTGGGGATGCCGATGTGACGACGAACGACGACGGGCGATGGGCGATGGACGACGGCCCAGTGCCTCCGAGGCAGGCCCGGATTGGAGCGCTGCCGAAAAAACGGGCGCGAAAATCGCCTGGGCTCTGCTGAAAGCGCACGAGGCACCCACCCGCCAGCCAAGCTTGGAAAAAAACAAAAAAGCTTGGGGGAGAGGAGGGGCAGGCCGGCAACACGCAGCGATCTTCGAGCCGCGCCGAGGGGGAGAGGTGACGTTGAAAAATCGTCCGGTCCCCGCGCCCACACGGATGGGCCGCCCTGCAGAGATCGGTGGAGGCAGCCTCTGCCCAGGCCCATCGAGAAGAACAGCCAGAAAAAAAAGGGATTTCGAAAAAGGGCAGCCAGCTCCCCAACACGCGTGTGATCTGAATATCTAGCTGCGACTGTCTTTTTTTCAGCTGCCGCCAGCAGAGCGCGGTTCATCGATATCGGATTTCACGCCCGAGTGCGCCGCACCATCATCGCCAGGCATTGGTCCATCTTGCCACGGCGAAAAGACGACCACACTGGCATTGCATCCGAGATTCGTACCTTGAGTCTCAGTGAGACTCGACATGTTTGACAACGAGATCGTAGGCGATGGTGTTGAACGTCTCGAGCTTTCGGTCAATGGAGGCAGAGTCTCTCCGCCCCAAAAATCTTCCGGAGGGCGACGAGGCGTGCATGAATCGGAAAGTAGCGCTGGCCGGCCAGAGATCCTTCTCGCTCTGCATTTCGGATCAACCGGCTGATTCGACGGACACTCCGGCCCAAGCCTATTCTTCGACGCTGCACACCGCGCCCATCCTCGTTGGCATCCATGAGCGACAGGCCCACACGCAAAGCGCACACGGACACGCACATCTGGCAATGTGACAACTCAGAACCATTTAGCCAGCGTGGACATCTTCGCATCGCAGCACAGTCTCGCAACCACGCCGATGTTGGCCGGCCGCAGCGGAGATTGACGTGTGAGAAGATGTCGAGCCCGGCGAGCAAGCTAGCCGGACTTCCGACCGTGCGGGTCATCCTACCTCGCTCCTTTGCGTCGGCTCAGCCTGCTGAATGCTGTCAAGAGCCGCGGGCGTTGAGGGCTGCTCCGATTCGATCCGAAGGCTGCTTATTTTTCCATTGTTACACCGAGAGTCTCTACAAAAACGAATTTAGGAATGAGGTAAGGCTTTGTCATTTGAAAGGTGGGGGTTGGGTGCGGGGGGCCACGTCGATGCAGGCCGAGAGCCGAAGTGTTGGACTGCACTTGGTCGTTCCTCGTTGCGCGTAGCTTGTCTTGACCATCGTCTGTGCCAATCCGCCATCTCGCCACGATGAACCGGCGCACAGGCGGAACGGACCGGCACGCGCTGCTCGCGGGCGGCGCCTACCCGACCTCGTCCTCTCTCTCCGCCTACCGCTCCTCATCCCCGTACGACTCGCCGTACCCCTCGACCTCTTCCACGCCACCCACCTACAGCAGCTCCGACTTTGTCGGTGCGCCCAAAAAGGAACCCCATGGCGACAGCATCCTCGGCCGGGCCACCTCGAACTACACTGCCACACGAACGGCGGAGGATCTCGAGGAGCAGAACGACCAGCGTCTCGATGGTCTCACCGCACGCGTGTCCATGCTCAAGGAAATCACACTCAACATCGGCACCGAGGTGCGAGAAAGTACCAAGGATCTGGGCGTGCTGGGCGAGGCATTCGATAATACTTCGGCATTCTTGGGCGGCACGTTCAAACGCATGAACAAGATGGCCAAACGACAGGGCGGGTGGTTCTGCAACATGATGTTGTTCCTCCTCTTTGTCACCTGGATCTTTGTAAGCACCAACCTCCCCGTGCCGACGCAGGTGTGATCCGCAGCTGACCCACTTTTTCTTTGCTTTGGCGTCGCGACAGGTCTTCTTGTGGTGGTGGCGACGATAACGTCCCCTTCGACTCAGTGTATTTGTATCGGTAGCAATCAAGCATTCGCATTCAACCAAGCTGTGCACAAGCATTTGGGTGTGAAATCCAGATTGCAAAAAAGGCGCGATGGGAAAGGATGCAGGCTTGCGACTAGGCAGCAGCACAAACGAAACGAAAAGAAACGGGACAGCAGCAGCAGCGCGATGAAGTGCACGAGGACAATCCAGTATCCTCCTACCTCCCTGCGCATTCTTCCAGGCGGGCCAATAAGACTAAACGAGAGTGGAGACCAATGCCATTCAGGGATCGGTCGATGCGGGCAAACTGTAAATCCAGGGTGATCATCCCTGGAGCAGCTTAGGGCCGAACAGGGCGAGGTCCCAGGGGTTGGGCGTCTTGGTCCTGTACATCTTGAGGCCCTTGATCCTTCCCTCGACCAAACTTCCGCTGGGGCTCAGCTTCTTGAATGCCGACTTGGTGAGATCCACATGATCCTCTCCACACCCGGCGCACTTGTCGATGACCCTGACGGTGACGCAGTGGTTGTCGGCTTCCTTGTTGCACAGCTTGACGAACTCGCCGCACTGGGGCCCGTCGTTCCAGCCCTTGACGACGGCGCCGATGTGGCAGCTGTTTTCGGGCTGCCAGCTTCCGCCGCCGTTGCCGCACTGCGGGTTCTTGAGGTCGTTGGAAGCGTACCAGGTGATCTGCACATTGCGCGACCACATCTCGTCGGTCTGTGCCGGGCCGATGGTGAACAGCTTGCGCGAGGCGGTCGACTTGCGCGAAGAGTGCTTGTGGTGGTGCTTGGAGCGTCGGAGCTCCGAACGCGCCGCGAGCTGCGCGGGCGTGTAGTCGTCATCGTCGTCATCACCCACCACCGAGTTGATGAACTGCAGAGGCTGGCCGTCGTCGTCCAGATCGGGCACAGCTGGCACCGCAGGGGTTGCAGAGGAGGTAGGCGCGTCCGAACTCGCAGCAGCGCCAACTGCGACAAGCGCGAACGTGGCCAAGACGGCTCGCAGCA